ACTGGGAAGCCACAGATTATCCAAGAAAGCATATCTGAGATAAACTATTTCTATATTGAATGTATGGAATAGGAGACTGCTTAGCAATAACAATAGCATTAGCAATAGCACTTAGACTTATATACCACTTCACTGTGTTTTACTCTCTAAGTGGTTTACAAAGTCAGAATATTCACCTCAACAATCTGGGTCCTCATTCTGAGGCAGTCGGCAGTCAACAGAATTATCCTGCAGTACTGTATTCTAACCACTGCACGGCTCTTTATTTGATTCTATTGACCAGTAGTCAAACCTGAATAGAAGAAAACTTTTTGTTCTTATTCTGTACAATACTGAAATAAACTTATTATAGAGATGCTACCAACTGTTGGGATGAACTCATGTAATGGTTAGGTAGAACATATATAACTGAGCCCTTGTGTTATTTTTTCCAACAATTTCATATTAGTGTAGAGGCAACCCATTTACAGGCACTTTGAAATGAAATGGCAGCAAATCAACTAAATAAATAAATATTGGGGGATATCTGTTTTCCCTTTCTTTCCAATTACAGAAATCAATGGGATTAATTAATTAATTAATTAATTCAATCGATCATTTGTCTGGAACATTCTGCTATTTTGCACCCATTAGGATGCAAACTGTTAACAATTACTTCACATTTAGAAAGCTATGAAAATTATCTAGGATTAGCTGCAAGAAAAATTGCCTCTACAAGTTATCTATTATGTAACAGATACATATCTATGGACAAATCTATGGACTCAGATTAATGTTTTTGCCACTGTTCTCAGATATTCCATCTTTCTTGTGTATTGTTGTTCTAAAAAAAATAACAAGACTTTTGGCATCCTGGGGTTTCAGTTGATTGTGTACATGTGGGTAGATGAAGGAGATGATAAACAAGCAAACTAGTTACATGGAGATCCCAAACAGCTGCCAAGTCAAATCTTTAGAGAAAGTTTAGAAGTGCTCCAAACAACACAGACCTTAATGTAGAAGTAAGCAGCACGTCACTGTTTTACCAATTCCCTTTATCCACAACTATATGAACACAGTATTCATTTTAGAGTAAAGGCCCCGTGAAAGGATTCCTTAAAAAAAAATTAGTTTTTTGTTTGGAAACAAATATATACCCTGATAAAGCTATTAACAAAAGTAAAAGTAAGATCCTATACTAAAAAAAAATAGTCTAGAAAGATCAATATATTGAAGAAAACTACTTTAATGCAATAAACTTAATCCAGGTTTGATTCAAGAATATTTTAAAATACTTTTATTAAGAATTTTGATTATAATAGCAAAAACTAATGCACACTAAGATTAGAAAAAGAAAGGAGAAAAAGAATCACAAGTGCTTAATCCTTAATCTCATCTCCTTCCTAATCTATAAGAAAGTCTAAAAAATATCACCTTTTCAGCCTGAGATCAGTTAAAAGTTCAGAGTTGCCAGAATTTTTAGGGAAAAAAAGTCTTATTTTAACCATGATCAAATGTGCCAGCTCTATATTCCTTTATTTTACTTCTAACCGTTTTAATCTTTAATTCAATCTAATATTGTGATAAGATTTTATTTACCTTCACTTTTTTATCCTATCACACATATTTCTTCAAGGCTTTAACAACCTGCTTTTTATATTCCATAAAAATATTTTTTGGGTTTTTCTCTTGGTTATCATTTGTATTTTCCTTTTAATTTTTAAAACTATTTTTTATAATATAACAGATGGATAATGGGAAAATACATGGTTAAAAGGCTTGAAGTTTATACTGTTTTATGACTTTAAAGAAAATATTTATAAATTGTTTGCATATGACACCAGATAAATTATCTAGAATGTATAAAGACATTTCAAATGTATATTGAAAATGTGAATAGAATAGAATAGAATAGAATAGAATAGAATAGAATAGAATAGAATAGAATAGTTTATTGGCCAAATGTGATTGGACACACAAGGAATTTGTCTTGGTGTAAATATTCTCAGTATACATAAAAGAAAAGATATATTCGTCAAGTCAAGAATCATAAAGTACAACACTTAATGATAGTCATAAGGTACAATCAGCAATCAAATCATACTAGGAAACAGTCAATATAAATCGTAAGGATACAAGCAACAAAGTTACAGTCCTACAATCACAAGTGGGAGGGGATGGGTGATAAGGAGTGATGAGAAGATTAACAGTAATACCATGTTTCTCATATAATAAGGCTGGGTCTTATTTTTTTTTGAGCCCCGAAAAAATGGCTAGGCCGTCTTTTCGGGGGTTGACTTAATTCTGCCCCCCTTGCATCTTCGGGCAGGCGGGTGGCGATGTTGACCTTGGCGTTGGTGGGGCACTTCGCATCGGGGTCAATGCAGGCAGCACCATATCCGGGTGTGCAACAAAAGTACTTCCTAACGGCAAGCCACTCCCCCCATTTCGCATGTTTTAATATAAGCCTTAATTTGGGGGGAGGGGCTTAATTTCATTTCATTCCTATAAAACATGCTGGGACTTCCTATTGGGGGAGGCCTTATTGTTGGAGAAACAGGGTAGTAGTGCAGACTTTGTAATATTTGAACAGTGTTGAGGGAATTATTTGTTTATAAGTGATGGCTTTCGGGGGAAAACTGTTCTTGTGTCTAGTTGTTCTGGGGTGCAGTGCTCTATAGCGTCATTTTGAGGGAAGGAGTTGAAACAGTTTATGTCCGGGATGTGAGGGGTCTGTAAATATTTTCACAGCCCTCTTTTTGACTCATGCAGTATACAGGTCCTCAACTGAAGGCAGGTGGGTAGTAATTATGACGGAATAGTTTATCTTGCTTGGTAGAACATGTAAAAAAGCTAAAAAAATTGGATTCAATTTCATACTTGTGTTGATTTTAAAGATTAATATTCCACCGAAGCCAGAACTTTTCCCTTTACGACTAATGGATAAACAGATAGATTAAAGCCATGAAGATAATTTTAATATATGATTACTAGCATGAATACCCCCATGCTTCACAACAAAACTATGTGGTTGGGCTTAGTTTTTGGAGAGGAAAATAAGAGGAAAAAATTCTGCCTCTGCCTACCAGCATCCATCGGTTTTCATCTGGCTAGGGTCCTGTCAGTGTGTTAGGAAACTGAAACAGTATTTTCTGTGTGAGCAAGAAGACAACAAAGAGGCTGGGCATGGCTTAGCTCAACTGTTCTGTACTAAAGCTGTTTGGTGCTGTAAAACTAAAACGGAAACTGATACTCCTCTCCTCTGCTTGTGTTTGCATTTGGAACAGATTTTTTTTCAGGTGGAGAAGGGGAGAACTCCTTAGCATCAGAGCATGTTAATAATAATATACAAAATACTAATGCTCTGAAAAATCCGTTCTTAGTGAGTACCTAGAAGTCAAGAGGAACATACGTGCCAAATTTCAAGGCTACAAATTTGTAGGCTTTATGGTTCTTGAGATTTTGTGATGATTTGTGAGTGGTGTTTTGCTTTTAAATATATAGAAGATGCAGTGAGATTATTATATGTACAGAGTTGGAAAGTTTCAATACTGCTCACTATGGATCAGGGGTGGGATTCCAATTTTTTAACAACCAGTTCTGTGGGCATGGCTTAGTTGATGGGCATGGCTTGGTGGTCATGTTATTGGCTGGGCGTGGCCAACTCAATATCACTCACATCGAAACATGCATCTCCTCGCCTGGCCTCTCATGACTGTGGGGATGCTGCAACAGTCGTAAGTGTGAAAAATGGTCATAAGTCACTTTTTTCAGTGCCATTGTAACCTTGAATAGTCACTTCACACAAGCAAAGGAGGGGGAAAAAACTCCAGAGATGTTCCTGAGACAGGAAGTCTAGTCCTGCCAAGAATGTAATATGGGTTAACGGAGAGGCAGTTTCCGTAAGCAACACCAATCCTGAGCTATTTGTAGCTCAGGATTGAAATCCTTCCTGCCTTCCTTACAGGATTAAGCCAGTAATTTCTTCTAACAACCGGTTCTCCAAACTGCTTAGAATGTTAAAAACTGGTTCTAGCGAATAGGTGTGAATGATAGAATCCCACCCCTGCTATGGATGAATGAATGGTGAAGTTCAGAAATACTTATTGCTGAGATTATAAACTAACTTCTTTGATTAAGAAACTATCTACACTTATTGGTAATTGGAAATATTTCTAGACTTTTTTGCATAAAAAAAAATATCTTTTTATTTATGGATTTGATGATTAGACAGAATAAAATATAGAAAGAGGAGTATTATGATGCTACTTTAATGACAGTGGTTAAAATATATTTGTAATAACTGATAAGAATATGAAAAATCTGTTATGCTTTATATTCTTTTTTTCCCTATTTTTAAATTTTATTTCTTTTCTTGCACTTTTTACTTTAAAGGAGAATATTTGTAGCTCAGGATTGAAATGAGGGTCCTTGGGTGCTCTCTGAGCTTACTTGTTTGTTTGTTTTTTGTAGATGATGATGTTACCAAATTAGGGTAATGAAACGTCTGCAAGAAAATAAGCTCAGACAACACCAAGGACACTTCACTTTACATACTTTTTCTTTTTTTGTTTACTTTATATTAGTTTTTATTTTTTAAAGTTTCAATAAAAATATGTATTAAATTATATTTTTAAACTTCAGCTAGTTTCTTTTGTATGTCCAGTAAAGCAACAGATAGATCTTTCAAATCATTACTTTGGTCTGTCAATTGTTGTTCTACTTTTGTGACTTTTGCTATATAGTCAGATAAAATTTGTTCCACATCTATCATTCCTTCATTAACATCTTTTTTTTCTATCAGCAATTTTTGTAACTTCACTCAGGACAAAAGGTAAGCAAGGTTTTGCCTGGTAAACACCTGGATATGAGGTTTCAAGGGAAGAGATTAGGAGAAAGACTCAGGTTATTCATGCAATGGTCCCAATCCAGCCTAACTACTGATAAATCGTCAACGCAATCATTCCTTTAGTGAAGTTACAATAATGCTGAAAAGAGTGACTTATGAGCAGTTCACATACTTATGACCGCCAGTCTTGATATCCCTGTGGTCACTTGATCATCTGGTGGTCACGTGATCAAAATTGGACACTTTCCAATTGGCATATATTTATGACTGCTGCATTGTCCTAAGGTTATGTGATCACCATTTATAAGTTTCCCAGCCAACTTCCTACAAGAAAATGTGGAAATCAGATTCGCTTAACAAGCACAGTGTTAGTGTTTGGGGATAAACCCCTGAGCAGAGTGCACAGCAGCAGTCAAGCCAGGCAGCCAAATGAGAGTGAGGCTGGGCCCAAGAGTATACACACACTTGAGACAAAAACACTGTTTGTGGTTTTAAATAGGTATTTAATTCATACAGAGATTAAGAAGAGTCATTCAGTCCATATGTCAGTATCCAGTTTATCAATCCAGTTACCTAGTCTTTTAAACAGTAAAATACAATGTCTTTATCTGCTTGTAAATCTTCTCCTCTGATACCTTTCTCTCAAATACAATGCTGAATCCACAGCTCACCAAGCAAACAGTCCTTGTGTTCAGTAGAGAGAAGTATCTTGCACAGTAGACATCTCATACTGGAGGAAACAGTAGGCAGACAGACAGCAGATAGACCAGAGACCGGTAACACCAGGAACCAGGAATCAGAACAGGAACTCGAAACCAGGATCAGAAACCAGGAAGTGTTACGTCTCTCTCACTGCCTCTTATTGCAGCCTGCAACCGCACCCATAATTATGCAATGACATTGCAGTTTTTAGCTTAAAGCTGCAAACACTTATGCCTAGGTTTTATATATTCATTCACCCAAACCAGTTGGTGTATCCATATACCCAACATACTCCCCTTTTGGGTGACATGAATATATAATGCCTTTACAATCTGAACCCATATTTTTCACAACTCTCTAGGTGCTTGATGGCACCTTGGGCTTTAGTAAAATTATCAGCTATATTGTCCTCCGACATACAGTACTCTAGCTGTATTATTTTACTATTTACAGATTGTCTTACATTCAGATATCTCAAATCTGTATGCTTGCTCCTAGTTTTAACTGCAATATTAGTGGCCATTTGAATTGCTGCCTGATTATCTTCATGTACAACTACAGGGTAATTTACAGTTATACCCATATCCTTCAACATTTGTTTGTACATAATTAACTCAGTACACAATAAAGATAAACAGGAGAATTCTGCCTCCATAGTAGACAAACTTATATGCTGTTGCCTTATTTACTTCCAGCCTATTAATGTCTTACCCAGCATTATGGCTGTTCCTGAAGTCGACTTTCTAGTATCTCTTTCTGCTGCAAAACTAGCATCTGCATAAGCACTCAATATGAGATCACCTTTTGGTTCTAAATACAGTGCATGGTGTAATGTTCCTTTAAGATATCTTAAGATTCTTTTCAATGCATTCCAGTGACATTGAAGCGGGTCATTATTGTGCCGTGCCAGCTGATTAATACTGAAAGCAATATCTGGCCTTGACCAATTGCTAATATATGATAAGCTACCAATCAAAGATTGATA